TTCAAATTTCACAAAAATAACAAAAACTCCACGAATTTCACAAAGCCAAAGGAGAAATGTAGGTCATCAATTATCTATCTTTCACAAAGCAAACTACACTTGAGTCCTTCCATTTTCAGGTTTTATTATATTTCCTCCAACATCAATGCCATTAGTTTTTACTTTGACTGTAAGGGCATCTTCTAAGTAACTGGCAAGCATTGACAGAAAAGCAGTAGTTGGTGGATAAAAGGGATTGGGATGACCCAACACGGATTCCCATGTAGTATGTGCATTGAAAATTGCTTTCATACCAAATAGTAAAAGAGAAGAAACATAGAAACCTCCGAGCAACTTCCATTTCCTTGACTTTTCAACAAGAAAGCAACTAGCAAGGACCTACCTGCTTGGAAATTACCTGTATGTTTCATGCATGTTGAAGCGGTTGGGTTGGGAAAAGCACTCAAAAAGACAAAAGTTGTGATTTCAGACTCAGTAACTTTGAAATAAAAGGAAATTAAGACCGACATAATACAAATGCGATGCAGAATTGCCCTCCCTCCTGTTACATTTATCAAAAAGAAACCCACAACTCAATGTCTCTTCAAAATTTCTTCAAATTTCTCAAGAAAACATTAGTTAAAGAAAGAGAAAGAAAACCTTCAGCACTTTCAGAGGGACTATGTCGTCAATTTTCACTAGCTGAGCTCAAAGCAGCCACCAACAACTTTGATGATGATTTGAAAATCGGTGAAGGTGGTTTTGGCCCAGTGTACAAAGGCCTCGTTGATGACGGCTCTTTGGTTGTCGCTGTCAAACGCTTGGCTAGACAATCGGAACTAAGAGCTGAACCGTTCCAAAATGAGGTACAGGTACTCTGCCAGCTGCGCCACCAGAATCTTGTCTCTCTTCTCGGGTTTTGTCACGAGAAGGGTGAGAGCATCCTTATGTATGAATATGTGACCCATGGGGGATTGAATGGTCATCTTTTTAAGAATGATGATCCACTCCCATGGAAGCGGAGACTAGAGATATGTATTGGGGCAGCGCGTGGATTACACTACCTTCACACAGGTGCAAAGTATGCAATAATTCACTTCGATGTCAAGCCTCACAATATTCTTCTGAACGAAAATTGGGATGCTAAGCTTTCAGACTTTGGATTATCCCTAATTGGTCCCTCTAGCTTCTCAAAGCCTAAACCCAACGCTTGGGAAGGAAGGATATCAACAGCAAGAGGTACCCTGGGCTATATGGCTCCAGAGGTGTTGTACAAAAATCTTGGATTCAGTGAAAAAGTTGATGTGTACTCACTAGGTCTTGTTCTGATAGAAGTATTGTGTGGTAGAAAGATGGTTGACGCCTTCGCAGAAGACGACGATTTCATTTATTTGATTTCAGGGATCATTAAATGCATCAAAAATGGCTGTGTTCATGATATAATTGATCCATTTCTGAAAGGGAAGATAGCACCAGTGTGTTTGATAGAATATGTGGAGATCGCTCTCAATTG